GCAATCAAACCTGATATTAGCGATCCCAAGGGTGTTCCTTTGACTTGTTCATATATTTGGTCGCTCAATTGGAAGTATGTTGTTAGGCATAGGTTTATGCATTCCATCCAGCTTGTGTCTTGCATTTTTGATTGTTGTGGGAGATGTTCGCCGTTGCTAAGTAATTGCTCCATGGTTTCTTTTGCTAGTTTCTGTCCGATTGAGGTGTATAATACTGTGACATCGAAGAATATCATTATTTCTTGTTCATCTATTTGGATGCCTCTGATTTTCTCTAGGAATTGGATAACTGAGTTGATGGAGTGATCACAAGATTCCGTTAGGTGTTTTAGTTTTCTGTATACTTCTTTGGATAAATTATAGGTTGGAGTTCCTGGGAGTGATATAACTGGTCTAAGCGGGATATTTGGCTTGTGTATTTTGGGTCTTCTGTAGGGTTTGTAGGGATTTGATTGCTTGGTTACAGGATTTCATCGTGAACTGACATTGGTTAGATAACGGTAGCCAAACCTGGGAGTACTGGACAGTTGTTTCGTCCCAGTTTGGGTCTCTCCATCAGTACGTAACCACCGGGGTTTGAATCCAGGACCTTCTGGTTAGAGTAATCTTCTTGGCCTCATCAGACTGTCGTATTAAGACTACACAGCTTATGCTTCGAGTATTTGAAGATCAAGCAGACAGTTTTTGTTGACTTGTTGTGTTGTAACAACAGAAGACAAGGGCCAGGCAACAGATCGTTTTATTATGAAAATCAACACGTACTTATACATATTTCAGACAACATTATTATAGACAAGCGCAGTCATCTGATTGGTTGTTTAGGTAGACAAACGCAGGCTTCTGATTGGTTGTTTCGGGATTCCTTGACAAACAGAGTTCTCTATCTGCGAATCATATTTTGCCACGTTAACTTCGCTGTGATTGGTTGTTGACTCAGCCTTGTTCACGGCCCATATTAGTGACCTAGACCTTAACGTAGATTAGTGCCAACCAATCGGCTAGCAGCGTGCTCTCACCACACTCGTCCCCCCGTCAAATACGTGCGACTGAAGTCGGCTTGATCTACTTGGTGCAGGCGTCATCGTTGGCTTGTCTCGCTGTATCCATTTCTGGAGCTCGCTGACGTTCACGCGCCTCTCATTGTTCGCCATTGCGACTGTGTCTGCGTAACCCCATCTCGAAGTGACCATATATGGTCCTTCCCACTTTGGAAACTGTTTGCCTGACCCTGTCGAACATTCGTCCATACTTCGGCCCACACCTTCATATGCTGCTTTCGCCCGACCTCCCAGCAGCGTCTCAAGTAGCAGCTCCATCGCTGACAGATCTTGAACGCCACTCAACTGCGCAGAAGCCTTGAAGTCCTGCCCGAAGATCCATATGTCTCCATCAAAAACTGCAGGGTATAGGCTTTTCATTTGTCGGTAGGCAGCGACACCAAATGTAACAACAGAAGACAAGGGCCAGGCAACAGATCGTTTTATTATGAAAATCAACACGTACTTATACATATTTCAGACAACATTATTATAGACAAGCGCAGTCATCTGATTGGTTGTTTAGGTAGACAAACGCAGGCTTCTGATTGGTTGTTTCGGGATTCCTTGACAAACAGAGTTCTCTATCTGCGAATCATATTTTGCCACGTTAACTTCGCTGTGATTGGTTGTTGACTCAGCCTTGTTCACGGCCCATATTAGTGACCTAGACCTTAACGTAGATTAGTGCCAACCAATCGGCTAGCAGCCTGCTCTCACCACAGTGTAAACTGCTTGACTAGATCCCAGATGAAAAATGTTTATTCAAACAAAGAAAGTTTATGATAAATGCCGTATTTCCCTGAGTGACTGTCTATGCTCCATTCACTGTTTGCTCAGAGAGTGCAAAAGATAAGCGCTAATAAAACTCTGGTCCACAACAAAAAGTCAGGCATCCCGATGAGCTTATTTCAATGCCCAGGTAAGAAACCTAAATGCAATAGAACGGCAAAGATAATAATGACCACTTGTTAGAAATGTGCGAAGATAATTACTGGCGTTTGAAGAACGGCAGTGTTTGATATGAAGGTTATTAAAATAAATTCCAAAGTTATCCCAGGAAAACCTTATTACTACTTCTGCTTGTTAGAGAAATCCAATCAAAGACCACCAACCGATAACTGCTACCTTGATATGGTAGTCTGGCTTGCAAATCTCAATGACCCAACGACCTACACTGCGTTGAATGAATGTTCGTCCAGTTAGAAAGGTCACTTGGACAGTGATTAAACTAAAAGCACTTATCATAATAATGTAATTCGTTCACATTATACTGAGGGTCTGATGCCAAAGTCACACTGCTGGTGAGTAGGAATGTAACGGTGATAAGGTGTTTCCTATATACGACCAGCAAGCCAGCTACGCTGCCTGTCTGCTCCGGATTGGAAGGGAGTTAGAAAAGCTCAACCCCAGAAAGTGTATATCCCAATTAACCTTGCTGTAGTCCGTATCCGGCATTGAGATTTAAACTATACACCAAGCCATAAACTACTCCAAACAGGCGGTCCCATAAAGATATTCCTTTGGCTCTGTGGTCACGCAGCACGAATGCTCCCTATCTTCTAGATATTTCAGGAAGTAGTCAACTGATACGATATGGACAGATGGAAAGCAACAACCTATCACACGTTTCTATCAGAATGAATACCCTCCACATCAACACTCATCTTCACCTGCTTGTTTTCCTGTCACTATTATTACTACTACTCTCCATCTTCTCATAACTCTAAGACCATTAATAACGGTATGAGTCAGGAAAATACTGCTGATAGCCACTCAAAACCAGACTGCTAACTTCATATTGGAGTATTCAACGTCCGGAATCTTTGCCAAACTGGACAACATGGCGCATTAGCCGGAACTATGGCATCTCGGATTACAGATGCATGCACGAATTTAGCAAGTAGTTTAGAATAGCTTAGGCCAAAAAGGCGGTGACAGTAAGTGATAATAGCCAAATGTTGAAGATAATCAGTGACGTGTTGGAAAACAAGAGGCAAGATAGATCAGTGATCCATCCACCTACCAAAGATGCAACGAAAAAATACAATATAAGGAGCGAGTCACCTAGCCTCCAGCGACTCTTCGGACGCCTACTGTTTCTCAGTTTTATCAAAGCCTAAACAGGATATTGGCATAAAAATTCCGAAATTGTTGGACATTGAGAAAGCTGTAGGTAACCTTGACAGACTACTTCCAGAGGTCCAGAATTATAAATGAAATGTCACCTGAATTATGGTAGTGAGACATGATTCTCTCTGACCAAAATGAGTCATTGATTATCACAGCTATCAAGAAAAGAGGAAATGTTCTTGAAATACCAAGCAAAAAGGAAATCTTGAAATAACCAGAGAAGAATGAAGTAAACAGGCGACATCAGATAGAGCAGCGGCGTTAGCAGTGAAGTAAGTTCATACATGTTGGAAATAGGCCGCAATCTATTCAGAAGGGCAAAAAGACTATTTGACCTGTGGATATTTAGTCCCCAGTAAATAGTTTATGTCCACATTAGTAAACTTTTTAATCAATGGGTCAAAGGTCTGAAACCCGCTCCACCTACTAAGTTCAAGACAACCAGACCTTACACTTCAAGTGTATATGCATAAAAACTTTAAAAAAAAAACTATACACTACAGATTCGTTGAGTGGTTGCATATCACTCACACCGACCAGTTGTGCTTGCTAGCCCTATTGGGTGGTTTGAAGTGATTCAGATGAGTCAAATAAGGTATACCTCTGACAAGCTTGGCACCAAAGGAGTGGAAAAACTGCACTAACCAGACCAGTTTACGCCTTCTATGGCTTAGTAGACGTGATATTCTAGTGGCTGTCCACCAAAGGACATGTGTATTGCTCAACAGTCCGCTCCATCCTCCTTTATGCCTTTGAAACAAAGTCGTTGAGAGTGTAAGACATGAAAAGGCCAGCTAGTTGTCTTCAATCATAGGTGTCTGTGTTCTGCTTCCGTGTTAGGTGGCATAGTAGGGTGAGTAATATTGAGGTTAGGCGTCATTCGAGTGTTAGGTAAGGAGGGAGGGGACATCAATCGACAAGCTCGATCAATTACATCGATTGAGATGCTCAGGACATGTGTTACGCTTGCTAAGCTAGCCATTGCTTTCCTAGACGGGCAAGGCAATGTTAGCTGACAGGGGATCGATGAGGTTGGATAAGAGCTAGTGGTGGTCAAACCAAAACATCACCTCGTCAGTCAATGAAATCCACAACAGTTTGTTTAAACCACCTAGCCATGTATGGAGGTATAGACTGTCCGGCTGGTTGTCTGTTTGGGGTCCTCGAGATGGTAAGTACCAATGAAGGATGGAGACAATGGGTGAGATCGCTCAAAATCCTCGTTCTCAATGACTAGCGCAGATGCATCCACTCCTTGTGATTTATAATATCCAATAAAATTCTACTGTTCTTTCACATTGCTATTCTTAATCCCTCATTCACACTTATGTTCATTACCTCTCTTTTGAGTCTCTTTCCTCTTGCTTTATGTGCTATCTAGAGTGTGGCAACTCGGACTGCTGCACATCTGTGCAAGGTTCTACATGTTGAAATCAGTCTGTCAGTCAGTGAGTCAGGAAACACTACTGCTTGGTGTGAATGACACCCAACTGCTCAATTTCAATCAATCAGTAGTTTACAGTGTAACAATAGACGACAAGAGCCAGGCAACAGATCGTTTATTAAGGAAATCAACACATATTTATAGATTTTCATGTACATTATTATAGCTTGTTCAAGCAAGCAAACACAGTCTTCTGATTGATGGTTTCTTGCTGAACGTAAGTCTTTCATCTCTTTGTAGCCGTTTCTTGAAGTTCAGATTATCTATCTGCGAATTGCATCCGCCTACGCAAAGTCTGCTGTGATTGGTTGTTGAATCAGTCTTTACCTTAGGTTTAAGTAGTGCTTTTTTTTCTAACTTGTTATCGTATTCTGTTATAACTGTAGGGTATTGAATGAAGACGTTTTCACCTTGCTCTGTCTGCGCCTGAACTAATCTGTCTATCTGCTCGTCGGACCTTCCGACTTAGTAAAGCACGCAAATATCAAAAGACAAAGGCTGGACTGTGACTGTGTATTGAAGTGCAACAACGATAAAGAAAGCCATGGTATTTATACATTTTACAACAATATGGACAGCTAACAACATTTGAAATAATTTATCTTAATAGCCAATAACAAAGTGCGTGAGAGATGATAATATACCATATGTGCGAGGTTGACAGTCAGTAACAAAATGTGTGGGAATGATAATATACCATATATACAAAATTAGCAGTCACTACCAAAATGTGTGAGAATGATAATATACCATATATACAAAATTAGCAGTCACTACCAAAATGTGTGAGAATGATAATATACCATATATACAAAATTAAACAGTCACTAACAAAATATGTGGGATCCTATCAATTCACAAAACCCTGTTCATTCCACTTCATTATTATTATTTGACAATCATTCACCAATAGTGCTTTTAATTTTACACCATATCACCGTTATTATTTTACAATCATTCTTATTGTTGTTATTTTCAACCTTGAACTTACGTCTAGACCGCCCCATTCGTTGATTTATTTTATATTGCCTCACACACCCTGATTACACTCACTCTTGAAACCTGTATATATATATATCATTAAATTAAATTACTTCATCTCATTTTGTTCCATGTTCTCATTGACCATGCATATTAAAAAACTATATGACTATTGTTTCGTCCCATCTTATACTTGTTTCCACAATACACTTTCTGATATGATTCTAATTCGCCTTTACTGGCTATTGTTTGCTTAAATTAATGGATTTATAATTGTAGAGCCTGAAGAAGAATTTATTGAAACCACAATTGTCCGCTCTAAATATTTTGTTCTGAATAAATTATGGGAATATTTAATTTACTGGAATCAGTCTTTGTTCGTATTTTTCTCATGATCATTATTGGGGACGTAAACATTGACGTAAATTATTGTCTACCGATTTAGGCTAGCAGCCAGCTCTCACCACAATAGGTTTAAGCATTGATGTTTGCTTTCTTGATCACCATAAACGGTAGTCAAGCAGACTGCATGCATTGTGATCTAAATAAATTTGGTTTTCAAAGGAAACTGTGATGGAATGTCACTTCTTCAAAGTTTGTAAATAGCAAACTTCAAATACGATTTACTGTAAGTGTGACTGTGATTTTTAAGTGTGGTGTAACACATTCAACCTTCAATAGAGTCACTATGAGGTTAGCTCTATTGTATAGTAATTACAGTAAAAATTAAATGATGTTAAAACTTACTGCAAAAGAAAATGCCTACAAAATCCTGAAGAACTAAATTTTGTACTCATGTTTAAGCTAAACTGCCCAGGTGAAGAGTAATACTAACCGTGTGAAGCCTGATGACCCTACCACCTGTCTGTCTGTCTGGATTCAACATAGAACTTGGCACCGAAGTGCACCAGTTCGAGTTGCCACCTTCCAAATAGCACACAGAGGTAGACAAGAAGATGAGTGAAGAGAATCAATACAGTCTGACAAGTATAAGAGTGAAACAGAATGGGTAATGGTAAAAAGGAATATGAAAGATTACAGAGACTGAATACATCTGCGCTAGGCATTGACAACGATTTTCAGCCATGTCACCTATTGTCTACAGCCATTGATTCCTAGAGTCAGTCCCGAGGTCCCCAACCCGGGAGTCTGCATCTCCCTACCTGACCGACTCAGTTTAACTGTCAAGGATTTCATGGATTGATGAGGCCATGTTTTTGTTTGGCCACCACTGGCTCTTTTCCAACCTGCACCTATATCAGCTAGCAATGCCCGTCGGGGGAGGCGGTGGTTAGGCATGCGCAGCACGTGACCTAGCCATCTTAGTCTATGTAATTTTATAGCCTCGTCGATTGATTTTCCCTGTTTGCCCAACACTCTACGCTTAACGCCAACATTACTTACCTTATTATACACCACCTAACGTGAGAAAGAGATCGCAGACATCTATGATCGAAAGCAGTCAACCTTTTCATGTCTTCAACGCGTATTGGCCATGTTTCAGAGCCATAGAGAAGGACGGAGCGAACTGATGAGCAGTACACACGTCCCTTGGTTGATAACCGGATGTCACGCCTACGCCAGAGATGGTGTAAGTTAGCGAAAGCAGCTCGAGCTTTTCGGATCCGTGCTGAGATTTCATCGCCAATCAGTCCGTTGGTGCTAATACAACTTCCCAAATAGGTGAAGTGGTCAACATGTTCTATCACTTCACTCCCTATCACTAAGCTAGGAGTTGACGTAGTCCAGTCCTGTAGCAGGATCTTACATTTTGTAGGGGCGAATCGCATGCCAAACATACGAAGATTGCTGCTCAAGGTGTTCAGAAGACTCTGCATTTTGTCAGCATCCTCCCCTAACAGGACTATGTCATCTGCATATTCTAAGTCCATAAGATTATTCCCTGGTAACAACCCTACCACCCAGTTACCCATGCTGAAATAGGTGGGGTGGGACCCGAACCCGTGACTCACAGACTGAAATCCGAGTGCTGAAGCCAATGAGACAGCTCAAAAATAAGGAGAAGACAAGTCATATAATTGAAAAGGGGTAACTGTATGAATCAAACATGTGTTTCTCTAACTTGAAAGCATGAATTTATATTTCTCAAAAAACAGAGATCAATTTCTTTGACATTCTGAATTCAAGTGAAAATAGATTTCATCACAAACCAAAATCAATTACAGACCATCAGAAGCTAAGGAGGTATTGGATAGCTTTTCTGTCACAGACTCAACTCATAAACCCACCAGGGATCGAACTTGGGACTTCATTGACTGTTCAGCCAGTTGAGCTGGAATTCAATGATCTCTGAATTCTTTTTCAACTTCTCATATAGCACTACTCTCAGAAATACCTTCGAACGGCACTCACTGGTTACGACTTTGCACTATAACTTCACGACATCCATTCAGTGGCCGTCAATGAACTGGAGATCCAGATTCAGACTACAGGATTTGTGGGGATTCAGATTAATTTCAATTGTTAGATCTCATCACGAACCAAAATCATTTGAAGAGATCACTGAAAACTAGAGAGCACTAAACAACTGTTTCGTCCTATTCTAAGGCTTTTCATCGGTGCTTTAGATCGTGACGAACTAGTCCAAATCCATACAAATCCCTTAATCAGAATAAATAAAATATCATAATAATCAAAGGTCATGGGATCCTCCCAATAAGACAGCAAGAGAAGATGAAAGTTTAACAGAAAGTGAGGTGAAAACAATACGGAAAACAGCTGATGACCAGACAAGATTTGAGTACACACAAACATGTGCTGGTGAGTTGTGGTGAGAGCTGCCTCCGAACAAGCCGAAATTGTAAACAGCAATTTATGCCCATGTTAATGTCCTGAATTGGGGTCATGAGAAAAAACAAGAACAAAGCTTAACCTTCACGAAATCACCAACCAATCACAGCAGACTTAACGTGTGCAAATACGATTTGCAGATATATATGACTTAACTTTCTAAGAAACGGTCACAAGCAGTACTGAATAACTTTCAGCGAGAAAACAACCAATCAGAAGACGTTGCTTCTCTGCTAACAATAATGCTAATAATAATGCTGTCTAGCCCTTGTCTTCTGTTGTTACATGGGTTGACTCCTCAGGAGCTGCACACACCCAGAAAGTTGAGTCAGTGAGACAAAACACACCGAAAGTATAAATAACCACAAAATGAATTCCAGTTGAAAGTCATTCATATATATATATATATATATATATATATATATATATATATATATATGCGCATCCTGGATTCCACTGCCAGTCACTATCCACCAATTGTATACTAATTAAGTGCCCAGACATCGTCGAAGCATCTGCACAAGAAGCCGACATGTCAACCTGAGACCGAGCACTTCGATCCAATCAATCGACAGGAAAATGAAAAATTCAATTCAATATATATATATATATATTCTTCCAAAATCATTTTTTTAAATCATTTACAAAGCTGTGAAAAGTGTTTTTACGGCAAAAATACATACTTTTTTTTCTTGAACAAAGTAGGGCAAGTGATGAAATTTTATCATATTTTAAAAAAACAGATTTTATGTATGTACAACTATAACAAGAAGGTTAATTATGTTTGTTTTCTGAAAAGTTAAGGTATTTCATTTATTCTCTTTCTTTTTTCGCCTTGGTATTCTCTTCTTCAGGCTAATTTCTGTTTCTTCCAAACAGGTGTATCATCTTTCTTTACTTCTTCATCAGGATTGTGAAACACAGGATTTGGTTGAGTTCTATAAAAATAACAATCGAAGAAAATATTTTATGTCAATTTATAATACTACTGATAGAACTTTATAAGTAGTACATATAGTCCATAAGAATATTGAGTGGCAGAGTAATGAATTCACTAGTGAAGAGAATTAATGGACGATCTTTGTGAAAACAACTGGGAAAACATGGAAGGAAGGCACATGGAAGAGGCACAATACGGAGGACACATGCAAATGGTGAGTTTAGCATAAGGCAGATGTATTTTGCCACACTGAGTCGGTTGTTTACCGATAGAATACTCGACAACTACGCATGCAGTCTGGGGGTCAATGCCAGACTGAGATACTCCTTGACCTCGTTTAGCCGGTAGTAAGGCCGTTAAAGAGGGGAGATGAGACGTGTAGCTATCAGCGCCACACACACGCCCATCCTGAGGTAAAAAAAATAGATACCAATGCTATTAAACTCAAGCCTGAAATCATATGTTCCACTCAGAAGACAAAGGAATAAAAGCGGAAAATGAATGAAATTTCACCATATCTGACAATCAAGTTACCGCCAATGAACCGTCCAGCTACTACTAGTCTTCGCTGTCAGATCTTGAGCGCCCACCAACTAACTCAGTAACGGCTTCGAAGTTTTACAAGAAGCTCCCTATAGCTCTTCCTTCGAAAGCTGCATGTGATGGGATCTTCAATTGTCCGTCAGTAGCAACCGCAAGTGTAACAGCAGAACACAATAGCATCTGCTAGTGGAATTATTTATTGGCGACTTGATATCACAGATATTGCAAAATACATCTACTATTTGTACATGTCCTCCGTATTGTGCTTCTTTTGTCCTACCTTTCATTTTTTCTACGCTGTTTCACAAGAATCGTTCATTTCTCCTCTTCGCCATTGAATCTATTCCTCCACTACTTAATATTCTTGCAGATGACATCATATACTACTTATAAAATTGTATCAGTAACACAACCCGCACATTAAATATACTCATGTTATAAATTATAGAATGAAAATTACTCATAAAATAGTTTCAGTCAACTAAAAAGTTATAGGAGATTCATTAGCTTGTCGGAACTTACTCAGCACTCAACGTTTCAAACGCCAAAGGATGGATGGACAGCTTCAACTCTTATTCGGAGCACCATCCATTCAGTGGGATTTATATCCAACTGATGAGTCGTTTTTTATTATTATTATTATTATTATTATAACTGTTCCCTTGGGTCTCTAGTGGAATATAGGGCTTCAACTGCACGTCTCCACTTGCTTCTGTCTTCTGCCGGACTTTCCACCTACATCCATGTTAGTCCATACTGTTTCAACTCCTCTTCGCACGATCTCGTCCATGTCACCCTTGTACTGACGACCCACTCGCCGCTTCCCTTTCGGCCTGGTTCCACTCGAGCAATGGCCTGACGCGCGCGATGTCACCCAGCGGCCACCTAACTCAGCGAGTGTCCAATCCATCTCCACCTTCTCCTGCATATTTGTTGGTTGGCGATTGGTTCTTTTTTGTTTGTTCCCAGCCAGAGTTTCTTGTTGGTGATTCTTTCCAGCGTGGTCATCTGATCTTCAGTATAGATCCAGCGAAGACAGTTGTTGCTTGATAAAGGTCTGCAACAGGCTGTTGGTGGAAATATTCCTTGTGACCCACCCGCGCCAAGTTTCTGATCCGTATAGAAGAAACTGACTTTACTTTTGTATTGAAAATCCGACTGAATTTTGTTGTTGATGCTGGCTGAGTGACGAAGATTTCCAGATTGGTTTCAGGTTGATGATGAATGTGTTTCTCGCCTTCCCGATTCTCGCTCGATTTGACATCCTCGTCCGTTCCGACTGCCTGTAGTTGGGACAATTCTTCCTAGATAATTGAGTGAATGAAGTAACCTCTTTCAAATCCCTCCCGTTGATGGTGATTGACGTTGGATGTTGTTGCTGTTGTTGTTGTTGGTTGGTTATTTTCATAACCTCCGTCTTGTCTATGTTCACCTGGAGTCCTGTCTTCGCCGGTTGCTTCTTCGACCAGTTTGTCGGTTTTCGCTTGTCAGTCTTCGATTTTGTGTGACATCAAACATAAATCATCCACGCGCGAAATCCAGGTCTTCTAGGTTCTTCACGTCGGTCCAGGATATCCCTCCCTGTCTTCTCGTTTCCCACCCACTGTCTGACGCATAATCCAGTCCACCACATTTAGGAATATCATTGGTGATAATAAGAAAACACCCTTGCCTGACTCCTGTGTTTACTCCAAACGCCTCGCTGAGTTTTCCGTTGTGGATCACTTGACATGTTCCCTTGTCGTACAGCTGTTGAATAAGGTTGATGAATATTTGGGGTACGCCATAGTACTCGAGTAATTTCCAAATTACTTCACGGTCAACGCTGCCTGTCGAAGGCCTTCTCAAAGTCTATAAAATTGAGGTAGAGTAAGGTTTGATTGCCATTCCATGCTTCGTTCTGTGATGATGATGAGTAGAGTTGCAATTTCGTCAGAACATGATTTGCCTTTCCTTAATCCAGCTTGTTCTGGTCGGAATTCTGTATCCAGTGCGTCCTTTATTCTCTCCAGTAAAATACCCCACATATACATAATTATATACAAGAGTTATAACCCAAAAAAACTTCTTCAATGCTTGCTTACTTTAAATATGCTTTAGTCCAAAATGGTTGTTTTTTAGCTTCATCAGCATGACGTAGGATAGCACCACGAATATCTTTCTCGGCACGTTCATCAGCTTCATTTTTCTTCAGTACAATCTGTTGTACCATATACTGATGTAGACTGCCAATACGATTACCGATAGCTTCTTCCCTATGCGGTACATGCTGCTTGGCCGCATCCTCTCTAGCTGCTTGTGCTGTTTGATGATCTTTTTGTAGGATGGCATTCACTGCAGCCATAGCAATCTCTGACTCCACCTCAGTATTATTAAGATACTTTTTGCTTTTACGTGCAATGCGTACAGCTTCATCATCATAAGTCAATATAATCGGTTTCATATAGGCTTCACCAGCGCCAGTATGACGTCGACGACTAGATGCAGTAGCTTGTCGGTTAGCACACATCAGTGCACCATTATGACTAACTTTTGAATCATAGTATACATTGGCTGTACCATCTGAAGAACTACAGAACACTTGATTGATTCTATGATGCCATGTTAAGCCGATAACACTGCCATGACTAGGACTGAATTGATTAACCAACTGAAATGGTACGAAATAAGTCACATTTTAGTTTATTAATAAGGCATATAATTATTAAGTATTTAAATATAGTATTGATTGGTGGATGATGACTACCAGTGGAATCCAGGACAAGGCGCATATCGTCCTAGTTGGGACTCGTCATCTGGGAAAATCTAAAATTCAATTCAATAATTAATATGACCCGTTGCACAAGAGGCAGTGGCTCTCGTGATCCAAGTGGTCTAATGGATAACGCTTTGGCGTTTGAAACTATGGGCACTGGGTTCGAGTCTCGGTGGTGGGAACATCATCACTCACTGAGAAATGCAGGTACATCCAGCTGACGAATCTCAAATAGGACGAAATGCGCCTTGTCCTGGATTCCACTGCCAGTCACTATCCACTAATTGTATACTTATTAAGTGCCCAGACATCGTTGAAGCATCTGCACAAGAAGCCGACATGTCAACCTGAGACCGAGCACTTCGATCCAATCAATAGACGGGAAAATAGAAAATTCAATTAAATATACTACTGGCTGGTTGATATATAAGTAGTTGGATACCAGACTCACATCATCCAGTAGTGCTTCCTAACCAGTTCGAAGTGATGATCTGAACACCGGGCAACTGTTTTGTGCTCATTTTGTGCACAGCTCATAGTAAGCGTACCCGGTTTAACTCAGTATAGAGACTAGTTGGATCAGTTCGAACCACCCCAAATTCCGCCTACTTACATTTATGTGCTTCCTTAGTGCTTGATTACCAGTCATAGTATTACGCAAAACATGTGTATGTATATTGTGTGACCTGAATAATTTCGATTTCCAACGAAGACTCTGATGAAATTTCACCTCGAACTGTAACCTATCGCAAACCGCGAACTTGACCATGAAGATGTCTTAGTGCGTATTAATTCATCAGTTCATTCTATTTCTTTCCTTCACGTTCCCCAGTGGAACATAGGGCCCCTTCAAGCTAGTGGCTTGAAGTTTCTGTAGCAGTGTTTAATTTTACAGGATGGGGTTGCTAGCCTTATGCCCAACCTTTCCTCTTTACTAGCATTATTTCTGGCTTAGCGAGGTAAAAGAGTGCGTCGGTGGCCGGGGATCGAACCCCGGACCATGTGCATGGTCGCTGAGCGTCCTAACCGCTATGCCACCGACACCATCAGTTCATGATTTACACCTCAATTATTTTAGCTCTCTTTCCCTTCTCCCTATAGCTTAACAATCAAAACGAAATGTTACAACTTAAACGAGAGTACTGTGTTTTGTCGAGTCGTAATTTGTTCAATACAAATATACAATTCAGTTAATATCTCAAAACACTACTACACTACATGGTTGACGTCAAGGAGCAGGAAGTCATGGAGACCAGTTTTGTGCCTATTAGTAACTCGTCAGCAAGGCGTATATCTACAACTACAAAAGATATGATGTTGCCTAAGAGATTCGGACCAGCATCAGCCAGTACTGCGGTCAGAAAGTTTAGTTTATGACTGAGTTTCTGTAGGACCGTGATAGATAAGTTGGTTAGTCACTGAAGTATAAAAATGTCAGGTGTCTGGTCTCTAAGGTTGACTACAAGTTTATCACTGACTGGGACACCAACCAATCAGACTGTTCTAACGTCTGCTACGCAAAACTCTATTTCTGATAATAACTAAGCTTAAAACTCCACGTACTGAATCGCAATTATGTCCTTACCACTTTATTCAATATTAGATAGTTGGAGGCAATCGGCCACAGAAAGCCCTGAACACCACCTAGGTTTCGTGCTAGTTGGCACTCACCAGTCAGCAAGGAGTATCTGGAACCCTGTAGATTGGAATTTTGAAATATAATTCTGTCTAACTGCGCCTTTTGCAGAGTAGTTTGTGTGTGAATGTGATGCCTATTATGTGCTACATAAAATATCCAACTCCTTTTAAGATTGTGCCAAATTTAACTTCGTCAACTGTGTTTCTTATTTTGTATTGAAAAAAAGTATACTTTAATTGGACACTAGTAACTACTAGTGCAGTGTCTAGTCCTTTCTTCGGTGCAGACTGAATCCTGTCAATCAGGTTTGCAATATGGCCAACATTCTAGGTAGATCGCCGTCACAGTGCACAATGATTTAAAGGTATTAGATGGTTGGAGGCGATCGGTCACAGGAAGCCTTGGACCTAGGGTTCGTGCTAGTTGGCACTCATCTGCAAGGCGTATCTGTGGGAAGGCAATTGCGAGCCCGAATAGCTGACTCAGTGGTACACACGCCCTCTGATCGATAACCAGTCGGTTTTTACGTCTACGCCAGAGACGGAGTAAACTGGTATATGCGGAACGAGCCTTCTGTATACGTGCTGAGATTTTGTCGACGATCAACCTGTTGATGCTGGCTGATACAACTTCCCAAAAAAAAATGAAGTGGTCAACACGCTCTACCAATTCAATCCCTGTTTCTAAGTTAGGAGTCTGTCTGTCTGTCTGGATTCAACATAGAACTTGGCACCGAAGTGCAGCAGTTCGAGTTGCCACGTTCCAAATAGCACACAGAGGTAGACAAGAAGATGAGTGAAGAGAATCAATAGAGTTTGACAAGTATAAGAGTGAAACAGAATGGGTAATGGTAGAAAGGAATATGAAAGATTACAGAGACTGAATACATCTGCGCCATTGACAACGATTTTGAGCCATGTCACCTATTGTCTCCAGCCATTGATTCCTAGAGTCCCGAGGGCCCCAACCCGGGAGTCTGCATCTCCCTACCTGACTCAGTTTAACTGTCAAGGATTTCATGGATTGATGCCATGTTTTTGTTTGGCCACCACTGGCTCTTTTCCAACCTGAACCTATATCAGCTAGCAATGCCCGTCGGGGGAGGCGGTGGTTAGGCATGCGCAGCACGTGACCTAGCCATCTTAGTCTATGTAACTTTATAGCCTCGTCGATTGATTTTCCCTCTTTGCCCAACACTCTACGCCTAACGTCAACATTACTTACCTTATTAAACCACCTAACGTGAGACAGAGATCGCAGACATCTATGATCGAAAGCAGTCAACCTTTTCATGTCTTCAACGCGTATTGGCCATGTTTCAGAGCCATAGAGAAGGACGGAGCGAACTGATGAGCAGTACACACGTCCCTTGGTTGATAACCGGATGTCACGCCTACGCCAGAGATGGTGTAAGTCAGCGAAAGCAGCTCGAGCTTTTCGGATCCGTGCTGAGATTTCATCGCCAATCAGTCCGTTGGTGCTAATACAACTTCCCAAGTAGGTGAAGTGGTCAACATGTTCTATCACTTCACTCCCTATCACTAAGTTAGGGGTTGACGTGGTCCAGTCCTGTAGCAGCATCTTACATTTTGCAGGGGCGAATCGCATGCCAAACATACGAAGATTGCTGCTCAAGGTGTTCAGAAGACTCTGCATTTTGTCAGCATCCTCCCCTAACAGGACTATGTCATCTGCATATTCTAAGTCCATAAGATTATTCCCTGGTAACAAGTCGATTCCTAAGTCACTACGTTCAGTTAAGGATACTTCCATTAGCATATCTATGATGAAGTTAAACAGAAATGGGGAAAGTGGACATCCCTGTCGGACACCACTGGTTGTTACCAATTCAGATGACAATTCCCCATAAGCCCTTACACGACTACGTGAGTTTGAATAGAGTGCCTTGATTAGTGCAATGTACTTTCTTGGCACTCCCTTCACAGTCAGACATTGCCATAGTACCTTTCGATCCACGGAGTCGAAGGCCGCCTTCAAGTCAAGAAATATGACAATTGTTGGACGCCGAAAAGTGTGTCTATGTTCTAGAATCTGTCGAAGAGTGAAGATATGATCTATGCACCCTCTACCTGGTCTAAAGCCTGCTTGATTTTCCCTTGTCTGTTCCTCCCGAGTTCTGCTTAGTCTATGCATGATTACTGAGCCTAGGATTTTAGAGACTATGTTCGTTAGGCTGATCCCCCTATGATTATCACACGAGGACTTGTTTCCCTTCTTGAATATCGGTATAATAAGTGACTTACCCCAGTCTGATGGTACTGTCTCTGATTCCCAGACTTTGCCTAGTACCTCAGTTAATCTACAAACTAGTATGTCACCCCCATATTTAAACACCTCCGGAATAATTCCGTCGGGTCCTGCCGCTTTGCCTCGTTTCAAATTACTGATAGCTTTTGTAACCTCACCTACAGACGGCGGACCAGTGTCTATATCCCATTCGGGTACGTGGTGGATGGCGGGGAGGTTCAGTGTGGCTGTAGGCAAGTTAAATTGTTCCTCAAAGTGTTCTTTCCAGCGTTCAAGGCGTCTATCCTGAGAGCTAATTAAGGAGCCATTTTTCTCAGAAATAGTCTCACTTATGAATTGCCTTCTCCCACCCGATTCTGTGATGAGTCTAAAGAGTTGCCTAGTGTTGCCTATCGCCGATGCTTTTTCCATCTCTTTGCCTTTGTCACCCACCACTGTTCACGGTCCTTGCGGAGACTTTTAGTAAGTTTCCTTTTGTGCAGCTTTCGCTCCTCATTGAATTCGGAGCTCGCCGGAATAAGGAGTCAGTGTAGTCTAGTCCTGTAGCCTGATCATCTTACATTTGACAGGAGCGAGTGAATCGCATGCCGAACATTCGAAGATCGCTGCTCCACAAGGGGTTCAAAAGACTATATTTTGTTGGCATCTTCACCTAGGAAGGACGACTATATCATCGGCATATTCTAAGTCAACGAGATTATTCCCTGATGGTAACAAGTCAATCCCTGAGTCACTGAAGTCAGTTAGGGTTAAGTCGATTAGTACATCTATGATGAAATTGAATAGAAATGGGGTTAATGGGCATCCCTGACGGGTACCACTAGTTGTCATCGTTTCAGATGACAACTCGCCGTAAGCTTTAACCTGGCTGCATGAGTTCGAGTATTTTCTTGGCATTACCTTTACAGCCAAACATCGGTATAGTATCCCTCGGTTGACAGAATCGAATGCCACCTTTAGGCCAACAAAATATAACGATTGTTGGACGCCGGTGGTGAGTATGCCTATGTTCCAGAATCTGTCGAAGGTTGAAGACATGATCAATAGTTATGAGATTAAATGTAAAGTGCTAAGAATGTAAAGAAAATTAATCAAAGAATTTGCCAGTATTCACCTACTGAAATAACTGCAGATATCAACTACTGAAGTATATATAAGCCAGGAGAAGTAATAAAGAATTAATCAACTAACCTCGAAATTGTCTCTTCTATAAAAGTTAATCTGACCCTTTTTAGGATCACCACGTGGTACGCCTAAAGCAGCAGCAATTACATAATCATTTGGACTAAATGTTACTTCTGTTTGATTAAATAATATAGGTAGATCTGAAAATATATGTACTGCTCCTTTAGACAAAGCACGTGTATCCCATAATTTCATTGTATCATCCATACAACGACTTAATAACTGTTTACTATCCCATGACCATGAAACACATGTAATATCAGTATTTACTGGATGTGCTGTACGCATTAACTGTGATGTATTGACCAATGGTTTACGTGTATCCCACAACTGGATTGAACCATCTTGACAACCAGCAGCGATTATTTGACCATCTCTATAAAAGACAGAAAGATGAAACAAACTTATAAAAGTTATAAATTAAACTAATATACTGGGTGCTTTTGATTAGTATTAGTGAATTATGAAACCCAAGATGAGCATATTTTGTTCAGTGAATTGTACCTGTAAAGAGTAAAGAAGAGTGCCAGGGAAGACAAAAGAAAATATTATGGAGCCATGTCAAGTGAAGCAGAACAAGCCACAGTGCAGGCAAAGGAGACCTCCCAACACTCTACCAAACAACTAGGCTCCTATCCGGAAAAAGTTCGACACAAATCAAGCCAGTAAAGGATGACAATGAAAAGTCAATCACCAAAGTGGTGGAGCAAAGGAAACACTGGGCTAAACACTTCAAAAGACTTCTAAATCGACCGCCAACAACAACGGAAGCAGAACTACCAGTGAACATCAACCCCTTCCAGACGAAATCATAAGTCCTGAATGCAATCAAGATGCTAAAAGCTGGAAAAGCAGCAGGACCAGATAAAATCCCAGCAGAAGCATTAAAAATGGACCCAGAGACAACAACGGCATTGATGACACAGCCAAGAGAGAAGGTGTGGGAAGAGGACAAGTTACCCGAGGATTGGAAGAAAGGGTGATTATTCAAACTACCAAAGAAAGGAGACTGAAGTCAATGCAAGAACTGGCGCGGAATTATGCTCCTGTCCACCCCAAGCAAAATACTAAGCCACATCATCCCAGAGACAATCAAACAAGCCCTGTATGATAAACTTCGACTGGAACAAGATAGATTCAGGAGAAACAAGTCATGTATTGATCAAATCGCTACACTACGGATCATCATTGAACAGAGTTTGGAATGGCAGTCACTCCTCTATCTCAACTTCATCGACTTTGAAAAACCATTCGACAGCGTATATTGAGAGGTGATTTGGCAACTGCTTCGCTACTACGGGGTGCCACCGACAATTATACATCTCATCCAACAATTATACGGCAACGGTGCATGCCAAGTAATCTACAACGGGTAACTTACGGAAGCCTTCGAAGTAAAGACGGGAGTAAGACAGAGTTGGTTGCCTACTACTGCTGATGTTCATGATTCTGGTAGATTAGATAATGCGACAAACAGCGGGCAGCGAGGAAACAGGCATAAAATGGACCCACACAAAAAAGAACTTGGAGGATCTGGACTTCGCCGATGATGACATATGTCTGATTTCCCACAAACTGGAAGATATGCAAATGAAAAGCAACAAGCTGACAGAAGAAGCATCCACAGAAAACAGGACTTCAGCTGAACATAGAGAAAACAGAGGTGATGAAGATTCCTGGCCAACACCAACATACAACAATCAGCATAAATGGGAGGAACCTGAAAGAAACAACCTCCTTTACCTACCTGGGAAGCATCGTTTCAACTACAGGCAAACGGAACTGACAAGGATATCAAAGCAGCGAGGATTGGTAAAGCAAGACAACCTTTCATTACTCTCAAGTCTGTGTGGAGGTCAACAGCACTCAGCATGAAAATGAAAACAAGATCCGGATTTTCAACTCCAATGTGAAGTCAGTGCTACTCATTATACGGATCAGAGACTTAGCGCGGCGTCATAAACAGCACCTCAAACAAACTACAAACCTTCATCAACAGCTGTCTTCTCTCAATACTACTCAAGATCAGGTGGCTGTCCAGAAAAGATCAGAAACAGGGATCTCTGCGAGCGAACAAACCAGGAACCGATTGTGAAACAAATAAGCAGGAAGAAATGGAAGTGAGGTGGATTGGCCATACTCTGAGGAAACAATCAAGTGACATGACTAGACAAGCCATCACTCGAGTGGAACCCGAATGGGAAGCGGAGAGTTGGTCGCGCAAGGGTGACTTGGAGGAGGTCATGTGAAGAGGAGATGAAAGCATGTGGGCAGACATGGAGCCAAGTAAAGACTTCAGCAGAGAACCGAACGCAATGGAGACGTGCAGCTGAAGCCCTATGTTCCTTTAGGAATTAAAGGAAATAATAATAATAATAATATAAATGTACCCGCATACATACTCTGCTAGTGCTTTTAAGTCTCTTTAACAATTTGATTGATTCCCCAAGTTTGGGTCGCTGCTAGTCTTACATTCAACGTTCCCTCTCTTTCTGGCTAGTAAACGAGGCAAGACACTCCAGAGAGTTGGCGCATGGTTAAATGCATTTCCAACAAGCTACTGGAGACTTTCACCAACACATGCTTTCACTCCGTTCTGAAGGTCAGATGGTCGACGGGAAGGGATGTAAGCAACAAATAATTCTGACAGGGAACCATCCAAGAAACCGTTGACTAATAAATATGCAACTGGAAATGGAGATGGATCGGACACACTCCGAGGAGACCGTCAAGAGACACTGCACAACGGGCCTTAAGATGTATAACCCGAATGGGAAACGACGAGTTGGGCATGGGTCCGATGGTGACATGGAGGCGATTGTGTGTGACAAGGAGATAAAAGCTTATGAGTAATCATGAAGCCAGCTAAGAAAAAAAAGACTGTTAAGAACAGAGTGAAATGGTGAAGATGGGCTTCTGAAGCCTTTATCTTTCACTAGGAGCTCATTTGGCTTATGAATTACGATGGCTTCTAGTTGTAAGGTAGACAAGCTAACGGAGGAGTGATTGAAAACAAATTTATTGGGGTCGATGGGGAGCTTCTTCTGTACTTCGACGGATTTGAGGCTCCTGTTCAATTCAGATTTGACATTCTCAGCTCGTTTGCTTTGCACCAAGATAACATATTCATTAAACGATTCTCTTCCACTTGATGATAGTTCGGAAAGAGCAGAAGACCTCTATGATATACTTCTCTGTAACTCGAATATGCGCGAGCTAATAGAATCAATAAGGTTTCTTGTGTGACGTTGGAGAGTTTTAAAATTGGGATAAATCTGGTGTCTTCGGAATGCCTTCCAGAACCATTTCAGATATCGATGATTCTGAATGCAGTCTTCATAGAAGTACAATTTTGCATTCACTTCGGCAAGTTTGACAGAGTAACTCAGAAACCCATTGAGTACCTTCACTGTCGTAGGGTCCTTGCATTTTTTCAAATCGTGGAAAATACCCATTGGAACATTAGATTGAAAAGAACAAGAAGTTCGGCAAAGATATCTTTCGGTGATTTCATTCTCAAAAGCTGTACAATCCAAAACTAGTCCAGCCCTTACAACTACCATGGACCTGTTTCGGTATGTTCCCTTACCCTTCAGTTTTTGTTTTTTTCTCTGTGTGTATAATTTTCTCTCTTTGTCTTCATTCAATTCATCCTATTTTTTTCAGTTATAAAATCAGTTATTTTAAATTTGTTTCCATGCTCCTCCTGGTCACACTTGTAATCTGTTTAGAATAAACATTTTACAATTATATTCTAATCCTGTGTAATTTTTTGTTTCTATGCCTCTTGTAATCTATATTCACACCTCCCAACTTACATTTCAAGTTGAAAATTTTGATTTCAATCTGTTTCCATGCTCATTTTTTTCACACCTGTAATTCGTTCTCTCCCTGCGTCTCTAAGCCCCTTGTAATTCATATCAAGTTGAAAACAATTATCATCTTTTATTCGCCTTTAAAATTATTTCTCCAGTTATCAAATATTAACTTTTGCATACGCTGTAACTATTTTCTAATCCTATCCAATGTTGTCTCTAAGCCCCTTGTGATCTATACTCGTACCTTCATACTTTCATATCAAGTTGAAAATTATTATCACTTTCGTTACTATGTGGAATTACACAAATAATAATTGTAACCTCGTGAACTAATCTATATAAATGCGATTGTACAGCTTTTGAGAATGAAATCGCCATCTTTGCTGAACTGCGTGTTCTTTTCAATTAATCGTTATCGATTACTTTCTGATTATCTACTGTTCGTTAAGAAATCGAAAAACTAACAATTACATGTACGACATACGTTGTATAGTAGACAGAGGGCAGAACAGGGGAGAGATCAACTCGTCGGAAACTGAGTGTCCAAGGTAGTGTGGAGCTACGACTGTTTCCATTTAATAAACCCTTCACTTTTCCCATTTCATTTATGAATCACTTTTCGCCATGTGTCACATGAAGTGATGCACTAAATTGCACGCTAATTAGTCACTTAGGTATAATTAACATCATCAATGTTAACTGTGAACTGTAAGCGTCAAACACTTAAAGCTGACACCCGATTAACTTGAGCAACATCCCACTGAAAATCGGTATCAAGGTGTCATTAGGAAGCACTTATTTGAAACAATACCACGTGAAAGAACACTTTTACTAAACTATATTTTTTGACTGTAATGGGTTCAATGATACGAATTTGAGTTACTTAAAGGATATCAGTTTCTTCGTGTCTTCAGATACGTCGCACCGCCAACCAACACCACATTGAATCATGTGCGAAGTGTGTGCGCCACCGTTTTATTTTGGGAACGAAAGATGGTCGTGGGGGGAAATGAAAGGCTAAAAACAATACTAATATAAGTATAAAATTTGGGCGCTGTGGTAGAGTATAACTCCATTATGGATAAGATTTCATTTTGAAAAGTCACACAGTGTTATACAGTAATATTAACTGATGACCACGTTTCGAGCACAAACTATTGCCACTCATAATCATATCAAGTCACTCACTCATAACAACTTTTTCTTACTTCATTTATATACATGAGTGAAACTGATGATTAGACATTTGAATAAAAATCAACCAATATAGGATAATGCACATTCAGAAATAATAATAATATGAGTGTTATTGATCAAACAAATACAATCAGATGGAAAATAAGACGAGTGTTTTTATACTCATAATAACTAAGTAACTTGTTAGAATGTTGTCATGTACTTAGATTGAAATAGAATTTTGAGATTATTTATTATCCTCCTCTGATTTGACTGACTGACTGACTAGTAGTAATAATATCTTCCATGCATATCTCTGGTATCTGGATTGAGTCATTTCTGTTGCATGTGTTGTGTTGGGTGTAGATTCAATGAACCAGGCAGGATTCAGTAATTAGTCTCTCTCTATCTCAACCTACCTAGATTACTTTTTAGAATTTTAACCCTCTCCCGCCCATCTTATTGTGTGGTTGTGTGTTAGTGCATTCAGTGCAATGTAGTGCTGAGCTTTTTTCTAAATTACCTATCTTTTCGGGATCAGCCATTCTTCCCTTAGCTAAATTCTTATGTTCCGACAATTCGACTACCCCCGACCTACTAGTCTGGCCTATGTAGTTGACCTCACAGTCACTGCAAGGTATTTTGTAAATTATATTATTTGTCTAACTGGGTCCACCGGGTCCTTTAACCTACAGAGTTTGTCCTACCTGAGTGAGTGAGTTTGTGGGTTTAAATGCCACCCTAATTCCTGCTTTATTAAGAATCCTACCTAGCAGGTTCTTAGATGTCCTCTCTTTATATGGTATAAATCTAGATGCCTTATATTCCCTCTTATTTATGTTATCATTACTAGTTTCACAATTATTTTTATCTTATTTTTATTATTATTATTTATTATTTTATTCAAATACCTAATCAATTCCGCAAATGTATATAAATGAAGGAAAAAAGTTGTGTGAGTGAGTGACTTGATATGATTGTGAGCAGTAATAGTTTGTGCTCGAAACGTGGTCATCAGTAAATATTACTGTAGGAACAATACTAATAGCCTAGCGTTAAACCAAACATATGCATATCAAAAAAATACCCTTACCGTGTATAAGCACATGCAGTTGGACTGGTTTTTCTGCCTTGTGCATTACGTGGTTTTATGACAATTTTATGACTCGGTATACGTGTTTCATTCATAATCGCTTCCGCGTCATTAAGATCCCATACACGTAGTGTTGAATCCTGTGAACAAGTGAGCAGTTTATTCGAATCCAGTGGATGCCATGTCCCCCAATGTAATGCGTGGGTGTGACCCTTAGCACTGGCTGGATCAGTAATATACTGATATCCCTTGTTTGTATAGCATACAGGCTCTCCATCTCGATCGACTACATACGCTTGAGCTGAACCAGATATAACTAAGAGATTTTCACCTGTATAAATTAAAATAAATGCGACACACACAGTGAAATAATGCAGCAACTACAGAAATGCAGGTAAGAACTCGCAAATGCCATTATGTCCAAAATAACAGACATAACTAGTATCTTAATTACCACAGTTTCTGCCCTATTCGATACAAAAGAGCCTTAGTAAGGTGCCTCTTCAATAGAATCCAACGAATATGCACTGAAGACACACTTGATGAGGAGGAATAAAGAAAGTTGACACAAACTCTGGTTGATAACAATTAACCAGACAAGTTCATCAGGAGATGTATAAAGTATTCAGAACACTAAGATCCATTCTCTAACTCGCCCCTAAGAAAGACGTGTACATCAAGCTACCCTATATGGGGCATCAAAGCAGCTTGATAACTAGACAAAGACTGAACGCTGCTGTTAAAAAGACGTTTAATGCAGCTAATATCATAATAATAATGTAAAGCCATTATATATATATATATATATATATATATATATATATATATATATATATATATATATATAAGCCCTTTCATCATGCGAAAAATGACGTCACATCCCACTGTATTTACCAATTTGAATGTACGTGTGGACACACATACGTAGGGAGGACTCATCGATCTCTGCAAGTAAGAGCTTCAGAGCATATTCCTAAATGGCTCCAGAAACAAATGGAATCTTCAGAACTTATTAACCGTGAGAACAGGAGACCTAGCTCTTCTATTGCGAAACATATTATAGAGACAGGACATAAAATTGACGTTAACAGATCTTTTAAACCTATCTATAAAACGTGTTCGAAGTTTATCCTAGAGTTTGTGGAAGCCCTAGCAATTAGAAAGTTTAAACCAACCTTATGCGTTCAAAAAGAATTCGTCATCACATTAAGCCTTCCTTGGTAAATTTTGTTTTGATACCATAGCAGATGTACTATTACCTCTGCTATTCGGTTTAGTGGTATTCATTGTTATTTTGACCTTGAATAAGTCCTTTTAACATGACCTAAGTCTATTTTCTCACCTCTTACCTCTTTATTAATTTCATATACACACTTTTCTATGACAAGTCCGTGTGTGATCAGATTGTTCGAAATGTGTTGCGCGAATACACATTACACGATTCAGAAAAATTACGTTTTCTTATTGCTTTATCTAAATAACTAGTTTCGAAAAGAATGGAAACTAAGAGTGTCACACTTTCCTGCAGTAGGGAAAAACAACGCTCGAAAATAGTCACTAAGGTGAATATACAGGTGGGAAAACAAACATAAGCAACTACAATGCGATTTGAAAAACACTGGAGATATGAAACCACAACTCAATACTCCTACAAATTGCTTAGACGAACAAACTAGCGCCTCTACACTCTGTTATGGTAAATAACTTGAGCTCTTTGTAGATCAGTGACACTCCCCATACCACTTAATGTTAATTAAAGGGATAGATAAGTGTGGACAATATATGACACCGACAATTATTAGACCAACCTTTCTACCTTACAGAAACCTCGATACCTAATGTCAACGGTATTAGATAGGTGTTTCAGGGAACAGAAATACACTGCGATGACATACGGCTGGATACCTGGAACTTTGAGGAATAAGAAGTAAAAACTATAGTCGGAATGCAAGTTAGGTGGTGGTAGTACGTGTCTAGAAGTACTTTCTAACTGTGAAAAACACAACAAGATAAAACAGAATCCAAGCCAGAATAATTAAGATCTATGCTTATCATTACATAATCTTGTCTTCTACCAATTTAGTCAATCACATGAAAAAGTTGCCAAAATTATACATGTTGAGACTACCGGGAAATTATGTCGTACTAATCAAACCTCTCAACTCGAAATCCTGAAGCGCTATGGGATAATACGAAGAGTTATCTATGTGAAGTGAAGACAATCTATTACGAATGCTAAATGAACTACTCTCAACCTCTTAACCTTAAATGTACTAACTCATGATCGTTACCAAATTTAACTGCAATATTTAAAGAAATGATTTGTTACCAGAGTGATGTATCGTTTCTCTAAAGATTGCAAATGCTGTTGTCCTTTCAGTTGACGACTGACAAAATGGTCAGTCTTCTGAACTAACTCATTAAAACTCTAAATGTTTGATATGCGATTCGCTCCTGTCAAAATATAAGATGATGCGAAGTTGATTTGCAGTGACTCCTAGTTTCAGTAGAAGGAATGAAATGGCTGGATGCGGTGAATTACTTGTTAAAACACTGAAGCGAACTGAAAAAATACGTTAAAACCATTCCAGAAACAAGAAGACAAGACAAGATAGCTTAATAGTTTGGAAAAAAGTTAAAACAGTAGGCTTTTCTTCTCAGCATTCAAGCGACAGATCACAAGCCAAGAATTAATCTCCAACAACTTCGATATAGGCAACTACGTAGCTTCAGAGACCTTCCTACATCAGATTTTCACGGAGACTTAGAATAAAAGCATGAAATACAATAACATTTCCCCCAAATCAAATCTAATCTCATTAGTCTTGCAATTGACAACTGAGAAAGAATATCGGCTTATCTGCTTGGGTCTGAATGGCAATGATAGGCTCAAGTATACCACATATGCCTCACAAACTCGTGAGTAAAAAATTTGTACTAGATTGCCTAATTGGATTTCTTGTACACTACCAAACATTAACCTTGAGCCAGTAATTTGCTACCCACAAAATCGATATCCAAACACGAGGAAATAACTTTATACAACTCCGGAAAAGAGGGAGACAAATCAAATTAAGGCCTTATGGGGATGCATACTGATACCTGTGAGCATACGACTCAAAAGAGTACGATAATATAACTGAAATAACTAGACATCGATACAAAAAGTGGCAAATACTTGCAAGATACCATATATTGAGTTTCTTTTACGGACATCAAGACAAACCATGTATATATATATATATATATATATATATATATATATCATTAAATCATGTTACTAAAGTAAAAACAAAACTAATCCTTACAAACCGACTATAGAAAATAAATCTGATGCTAGCTAGTGACTTGCTACCAGATGGATTTTCCTGGAGTTCTAGTGAGAAGTGGTGACCAGCGAGCTCCATCCAGATGTCATGTGTGAGGATGGATGTCCCACAGACGACAATGGTTGGAGTCGCGCTAAATCACGAATTGGTAGAAGTTAGAATTCAAGGGGGAACTGCCTCCAAAGCTTCAGGATGGTCGGGGGTGGGTGCCTTGCGCTGCGGGTTGGCCACCCCTCCGTACACCCTTTGAAATGCTCCCATATGACCGGGCGTCTTACATAGCCTCTCCTGAGGAAGTCCTACTCACTGCCTTCACGTGGCGGAGGTGTTTTTCACTGAAGTGAGAGGGCGAAAGCGGATGCCCGGCACTCTTCACCGGGTTGACTGTCCATTGGATGACAGTCTAGGGGAGATGGCTAAACCCTGATTTCAAACCTCCAACGACTGGCGTATAAAGCTCACCGGAGCTCACCGGCGGACGTATGGACAAAGGGCTTATTGGATGCCCTGGATGTCTGGGCCCATTCAAAACGGTGTATGAACCGGACTCCGGTCACCGGCTGCCAATGGATAGTGGACTCCCTACTCCACTCCTACTGCCTTGTAGGTCACACTTGATTGTGTAGAGGCTAGAGCTGCACTCTCAAACAAAAGGCCGAGCTATGCTGGGGACATCACTCGTACCTAATTCTCATGAAACTTCATGAACTCTCTTACAAACAACATCAACCAAATTCCAGTACTGGTCCAACAACGTCGCCTTCGGTGGTTTGGCCATGTTCTGCGCCGACCAGATGATCTGGTCAAATCAGTTCTAAATCCCTCGCCATTTCCATCTTGGCGATGTCGCAGGGGTGGACAGCTGAAAACATGGCTTGGTACAGTCAAGGCTGATATGGAGTGCCTGGGGCTACAAACCGTCTACGGACTCCGTCTGTGGAACAAGGATTGAATAACCCTGTCGCAATACCTTGCATCAGATCGCCGAGCCTGGGCAGCGATGATTCGAGACGTTCATGAAGCCGGCTCATCCTCCCGTAGGAGACAGCCGAAGTAAAGTAAGTAAGTGAGTCTGGTCCCAGTGGCTGAATGGTATGTGAGCTTGCCTTGTAACAGGAAGGTCCTGGGTTCGAACTTCGGTGGTGGGTGCGTACTGCCTATGGTTCCCGAACTAGGATGAAACAACTGTCCAGTACTCCATGGCTGGTTTTCGATGGTACTCTAACTGATATTCATCCGTGGTCAACTCGGAAAAACATCCTTTTATGGATTTCTCTTATCACACCTACGCCACTGGCCAAGTATAAATCCCTTTATGGATATCCTTCACGCCTGTTATTGGCCATGTACAAATACATACGCACCACTGTTTCCTTTTGTAAACGTACTGATAAATACATTTTCTGTCTCACGACACTGTGTTCTCGCTTAAGTAGAACAGACTGGGGAAAAAGGTAGTTGTTGTTTGTAATGATATTGTCGTGATCAGCGTGTCTGTGTCCAGCTCGGAGTTTCTATTCAATCCAATGTCTAATTTTGTAAAATATAAAGTGTAGATTCCCCGTGAACAACACTTTAAGGATTCAAGTCGTGAATTCTGTATAACTCACATCATCAGTCAACACATTGATAGACGCATCACTGGAATTAACCTTCCAATCAACTATTCAATTCAACAGTAAATACTGAGCACTTGTTGCCCGCTCCTACCAATAAAGTTGGTACTGTTTCATACCTTTACGTGAATTAACTTTCTCGCATGCTACACTAAACACCAGTGTTGCTTATTAGACTGTTCCATCACAAGGGGAAAGGAATCATTATGAAAAACTTGGGACTTCATGGATCGCATAACAACACAGAGTGAAGAAGCTATCAGCTATCATATAGGCGTCGTTTGTAATACAAGCTAGAAAAACTGAGCATCTTCGACATCTGTGATAATATTTTGTCAGATGTCTAGCGACGAAAATAATGAAACTTTTTTAGTATGTAAATTGGTCAGCAAAATAAACCACTCACTACCCCAAACTAGATATTTGTAAAGAAATCCCAGAGAATCATTTTGTACTAGACATGTGTAAAATGAATGGCTCATAGCCTCAGACTATCTCAGGATCTGTAAGTGAAAATCCCTGCATGAAATGCAAAGCAATTTAATACTTTATTTATTTATTTATTTTATTTTATGGTTACAGCTTGATTCCACACCGTATTTTTGGTACAAGTGTGGAATTTTCAGCGTGGATATCGGTAGCCCAAAATTCGCAGGCCAACCATAGATATCAGGTGTGCGTCGGCGAGGGCTCGAACCCCGGACCATGTGCATGGTCGGCGAGAGTCCTAACCACTGTGCCACCGACGCTGAATGAACTGGTTTTCCCTGAATGTCTAAACTGTTAGATGACATTGGAATGAACCATAGAATGAACAAAACTCTTTCACAAACAGAAACTCTAAATGTTGCAAAACAAAAAGGATTACAAATAAAGTCTACTCATATGCTTCCGGCTAACCAAGATGTCTAGATGCTAAACAAATAGTTTTATAAACACCAGTTAGCATAGAAACATGCTAGAAGACGGTTTACAATTTTGCAACGACTGCTTAAGCAAAGCGAAGACGTTCTCCAAATAACACCATATGCAAAACACCAATAAACAAGTAGATAGACAATCAAACTGCATAACATACATAAGATCTGAAGTTCAGTAGACCTATAATTACTGGTTTCGATCGAAGATGGAAATTACAGTCAATAAGAAAATATGCATTTTGAGAACAAACCAGTGTATTTCTTAGTGTTTATAGTCATAGTCTCATACTTTAAACTCGTTTAGAGTTTATGGTGAAGGAGGTCTTGGACTTACCAGCCAAGGAACGCTCAAAGAACCCCACCTGGGTAATTACATAAATCATACATTACTCGCTCATAAACTTAGTGCTAAACCTGACTTTCTATACATATGACCTCAACCTGATATCGTATCTTAACACCTAAGCAATAATACTCCTACAACCTTTTTCCAAATGAGCATACTCTACACGAAAATAACACCTGTGCAACAAATATGCACTGAAATACAAAACAGAATTACTCTCACCAGAAGGGCTGAATTCTAAATGTTTGATTTGATGTTCTCCACATGGACGAAATGCTTTAAAGGGACGACAAGAGTTATCCATCCCACCAAAATCCCAAAGCTTAACATCAAAGTCAAAACCACCTGTAGCCACACGAGCACCTGCTGCATCAACACCTATGGCGGTAAGTGGTTTAGCGCCATGAGACAGAGTTAGATTTTCAGTAATTGGTAAGTAGTATGGATTTTCGGCATCTAAGTCTTCTGGTGAAGGACCAATAAGATCAGATTCTGTATCTAAATGAGACTCTACAGGAGGCTCATCTTCAGCGGCATTCGAATCATAATCAGGAAGCAAAGCTAAAACCTGCAATTATAATTACAATATAAAGTAGCTTTATACTTTTGAGTTGTTCACCTGATTACGTTCTTGTGCTAGTGAATAGGATTCCGAAAAAATCTCCATAAAGTCGAACTTCTTCGCTGCTACTTTTGATTTAGATAATTCTGAAGTCATATTTCTTTCGGTAAACTAGAAAAAAACGATTAACTATTTAGTATGAGTACAAATTTCAATGACCAGGCATTTTTACTGAGAATCAATTAAGTTTGAAAACACATTTACGGTTTAACATCACAAGGCATTTATTTTTACAAAACTTTTCCAAATGAAAACACATTATGCAACTTCATATCAGCCACTTCTTACTGATGACAAAGATGAAATAAGCACTCTTAAAGTTTTCCAACAACGTATGATTTTCTTCGAAACATAACTGCACCTAGTGGAGAGGTGTAGAGAATATTCACAAGCCTTTTGTTGATCCACCGGGACCTATAGACACAATGGAATACACCACGATTCAGGTGTACTATACTGACTCGGTCCATTTTTGATATTTTAGCTAACTCTCACCCTGTATTTGAATGTTTGTTTGTCTTACTACACACTATTTGGTTATATGTAGTCCATAGTAATAGTACTTATTTCAACTCAACGTTTTTAGTACTGCATATTCCTCAGACTTCACAAATGTTTTAGTTAGGCGTTTTGTGCTGGGAAGCCAGGAAGTTTGGGTACATTAGGAAACGTGAAGAACTAGTGAGATTTTGGCATATATCATGGGATTCAGGTCGTCAACCTCAGTGCTTACATAACAATACACTGCTACTGACTAACTTCCCTGGAGAGCATGTTCATGCTAGACAGTGAAACAAGGGAGTATTTCACCTTTGCATTTCTACAAACAATGAAACTTTAGGCAGTATTCAAATGATATGTGTCCGAAAAATAAAATGTTGTTTGCTGCAACTTTGCGGTATTGTTTCACTGCTAACCGAGATATTTAAAGATGTGTTCCTACGAAAATAAATACTGAGTATCCCATTTCAATTATATCAACATTATTGTGAGTAAATTACCTAAGTAATCAACACTAACCTGTAAATTGTTATTGTTGTGGAATAAAGTGATTATTATTATATTATTATTATTACACAATAGCGAATGTGTCAGAGTAGCGTCACGTCCTAAATTTGCGCGTTCCAATATCCAATGTCATTTGTACGAGCTAGTATGAACCGATTTGATTTCTTTGTGCTCGCTTCTTCATTGTGAGGTATGGGTTCCTGATCTTCGGTAAACTTCTGCGTTGCTTGTCCCGCCACTCGACTGTCGTAGCTTTGGTTGACTCCAAAGGGAGTGGTGCTGGGATTAATAATATGTGGTTTGTAGTATGAGGTATGTTAAGACTGTTACTACTGTGATTGGAGTTGATCTTTTCGCCAGTTAGTCCTTCGGTATCGTCGACAAAAGAAAAGAGATAGTAATAATAATAATAGATATAATTAGTGAAGTTATTCAGACTAAAAGACAGAAACGGAAATGGGAAAGCATAACAACAGTCAGCTCATTAAGTTTGAAGAATAGTATACATATCAGTAATAATAATAATTATTATTATTATATTATTAATAAGCTGTCAGGAGAGTAAGACGGGAGAGAATGTAAAGAAGTAAAACGACGAGTTCAATTGTCTACCCCTGAATGGTGTATGCGATTTTAAGGGGATAGGCCATTTGGATGCAGTCCTTGCGTCGCTGCATGGTTGTCCAGCCTTCGCTTAAAGGCGTCCAAAGACGGTGCCATAACTACATCTCCCGGCAAGGAATTCCAGGGACGGCAAACCCGCAGTGAAAAGAAGTGGGAGCGCACCCGGGTCCTTGCCCTCTGGTGAGCTATCCTTCTGGGATTTCCACGTGGGAGCCTATACCTACTCAATGGCAGAACACTTTTGTTTTGGGTTATTCTGGTCATTTGTTATTTTGTAGGCAGTAACTAAATCCTCCCTAAGCCGACGGTAGCTAAGTGTGAGCAGGCCTAATTTCTTCAACCTTTCATCATATGGTTTGTTTCGGAGACCTATCACTCATTTTGTTGCCCATCGTTGGACTCTTTCCAAGATGTTGGCGTCTCTTCTAAGCAGTGTCGGTGCAATAATAGTATGCACTTCGAAGTGTGGTCTGACGTATATTTTATACAACCTTAGAAAAAGCTCAGAAGTGAGTGCACTTAACTGTCTATGCGTAAAGTGTATGACCGCATATCCGCCCGCTACATCCCCCGTGTAATTTACTCTTGTGTCCATTTTTTTCGTTAGAACTAGACCTAAGTACGCGTTCCGACGTTGTGCAGGACAAGCTTTCATTGCACAGGGTGTAAGTTGCATTCTGCAGTCTGCAGGTGCGCAACTTCTCTACTTTGCACTTTTTCAGGTTGAAAGTCATGCCACTGGCCACCGCCCAGTCTTCCAGAAGGTTTAGATCTTCCTGCAACCTATCTGAGTCCTCCGGACACTTTATCGCCCTCCATATTTTTACGTCGTCAGCGTATAGGAGAGTCGGGCAGCTCAGACGGCGTGGTAGATCATTGATAAAAATCAAAAACATCAGTGGTCCTAGGATGGAACCCTGCGACACTCCTGATGACGATCTGTGCCAAGATGATCGGACTCGGTTAACCTTAGTGCAAAATTGCCTGTCAGCTAGGTAGTCCTTTAACCATGACAGAAGTGGCTCACCTATACCTGCCTGGCTTATTTTATGTAGGAGAAGGTCATGGTGAACGGTGTCAAATGCCTTCTCAAAGTCTAGGAAGACCACATGGACTGGAACATTCACATCCCAGTATGATGTCCAGTCTTCCCAAGCTGATAGTAGGTTAGTAACGCAGGATCTGCCTTTTCGGAAACCATGTTGGGCTTCATGGAGTATATTAGGCCTATCGAAATATCCTCTGATGTGGCCGTCAATAATACTTTCCAGTACTTTTGATACCACTGGCAGTAGAGCTACTGGTCTATAACTAGTAGCGCTTTGCCTGTCCCCGCCTTTGAAGATCGGAGAAGGGATGGCTCTTTTCCACTCCCCTGGCACTGTCCCCGAATCCATTGAGTGTTGGAACAAGTCGCACAGGGGCCTACAGAGAGCTTCGGCGCACTGTTTCAGAGCAGATGGCCTGATGTCGTCACAACCTGGGGACTTCCCAGGCGTGAGTCGCTTTAGCTTCCTTAGTACTATTGCAGGGTTTATTTGGGGAGTAGCCGCTAGGTCTTCCTCCTGTGAACCAGTGGTGCCACCATTTTGGTCCGTAACTGTAATATCCACATTGCTGTTCAGCTGTTTGGCGAAGGCTGAACTGAATGTTTCAGCCATCTCCATACTAGTGAGATATTGACCGTTTGGGCCTACTAAGGTGCATGTCCCTTGGTTTGTCAGTTTTCTTTCCGACATGACTGACTTACGCTGATAGGTGCAAAATGTACGGACTTCAGCCACTTTGTTTAAGGCGCCTGAAACTCAACCTTACATTCCTCTTTCACCTTTTACACGGCTACATCAAAAGCAGTAATCCAATAGCTTTCAACATATCACCCACATATACTCTTAGGAATCATGAAAATACTCTATCCATAAACCGGTACCGGACAAAACTGCGATCACGTTTCTTTAAAATACAGTACAGTGCATTATGGAACGAACTTCCACTTACTGTACGTAGTTGCCGATCTCCTACTGAATTCCAGCGTCTACTTAACGAGTTCCTGTCACCAAAAGAGCTTCGGTCTACTTATCCATACTTTATCCATATGGGCTGCTCAACTAGCTTTAGTACTACAGGCCCCAGTGCAATACCCCCAATTTGAGGAAACTCATTTGCCCCGGCAACCGTACCTCATCTATAACGTGATAAAACCAACCTAATCTCTCCCACATGCCTTTACCTAAGGTTCGGTTATTCAGCTTATAAGAGATCCTATCGATATTTCTTCAATCGGGTTTATAAACTCATAAGACTCTCCTGGATGTATAATCCCAAATTAGTTGTGATAGTGTAACAACAGAAGACAAGGGCTGGCAACGGATCGTTTTATTACGAAAATCAACACGTATTTATATATATTTTATGTACATTAATAAGGCTTATGCAAGCAGAAAAAGGCAGTCTTCTGATTGGTTGTTTTCGATATTTCTCGGAAAGTAGAGCCATCTATCTGCGAATCATATTTGTCCACGTTTAAGTTCGCTGTGATTGGTTGTTGAAACAGCCTTGTTCATATTTTCTCACGACCCATATTAGTGACCTAGACATTAACGTAGATCAGTGTCAACCAGTCGGCTAGCAGCCCGCTCTCACCACAATAGATCTTCCATAATATAAGCAAACTGGTACTTTGTAATGTCTAAAGCATGCCATATGAAAAGTGGCCAGGAATACCTAGCAATAACAAACTCAACCGACCAACCATTTTCCCCAAGTTCATTAAACTTACCCTTATCCCTATTCGTACCACTATTCACTACACTCTACTCAGTAGAATATGACTTAATTTGCTCCGGTACTCAAAACTCTTCTACCTTTTACTTTTAAAAAAGACGTTTTAACTACTAACTGCACAGAAGCCGTTTAACTAACTCACTGGTTTCCTCTTCACTGTAATCTTCAGTAAGTTCGTCAGTATAATTATTTCCGAGAACCATTACATTGGCAACCATATCTTATAATATTTTACGAATATACTTATATTATTAGCATAATACACTGCACTATTTTTGAGTTGAATTGATTATCTTCAGTCAACAGTTACCCATTCTCATATAATTTTCTAAAATTCATAATGTTAAAGCTATGTAGTATTTCTGTTAATATCTTTTATGATATGTTTAGACACGTTACTTTGCAATGTCAGATGTCTACTGTATACAAGACTGTCATAATAATTTAGTACACTAAGTCCTGCCAACCGACCTTACCTTCAGTTCTTACTACCTACATTGAATCCTAACTATATTGTCCTGCTGAACCTTGCTCCACTATTCACAAAACCTATTCGTTTTACTCTTTAAGGTTTTAACTTCTTACAAAGTAATCTGTTCATTAGGACGCATGCATTCATATATAATATGTTCATAAAGATGTACGTGGAGACCTATTGGAAGCACTCACTAAGAAGGCTAGGGAGATGGAATATGAGGCGCGAACATGTCTGGTACCAAACAATATATTTGCGGTAGCCATAATAATCATAGTCTCAGAGCCTAACATCATAAAAGGAGGAAGGGTGGTGCTAGCTGATCAGTAGATATGGTGGCGGTCACTAAGACGAATCACCCCATTCTGCAGGAACAGCAGTACGCAATTTGGCGGCTCGAGATATTTCTGATTTTTATGAGGGCTTAGATCTTTATCTTGAAAAAGATAATAACGAACGCCTTGACAGATCATGCTTCTACCTTTAAATATATATCATTCGCCCAGCCTATTGTCGAGATGCGACCAGGTGGGATCTGCACAGATTTATGGTGTATCTTATAAATCAGTTTTCTATCCATCGTCAGATCTTTACATACCGCTTCACAATGTCTTATCTCATTTATTTTCTAATGACGTCTTTATTTGATCCTCATTTTACTCCATTAAACCTAACATTTTACAGCTCATTATAACTTATTATATTCCTATTCTCTGATGGATACGGTTGTGCACCAAATAGAAAAAAAGGTATGGAATAAAAACAACTGGCAAGAGGATAAATGTATTAAAACCAAAAGTGGACATCATGATAGTACGAGATGTACGTGTAGCATTATACATTGCAAATGAACGTTGTCAGCCTAGGGAGTTTTCTTTATTAATGCATTTATTAATGATACTTGCACTTACCTATTTCATTACAATTTAATGATTCACCTTAGCACTTTAACTTTTCTAAAACAGATTTCAATCCCTCGTAAACGTTGTACTTACCTCAATATTGGTTGGTTATCGTATGCCTACAACCACGGGATGAAAACGAAACGAAGTCGATTTTTCCGCTCAACCTGGAGGACAACTGTACAATTCAATAACTATACGGCCTAGTTCAGACAATGAGTGTATATATATATATCAAATATTTAACAGTTGAAATATTATTAACTTGTAGACGATCTACGATTTGAGACTATATCATACTTGATCGCGCCTGTAAAAAAGGGCATGCATTTTGATGTAAA